TGGGGGGTGATTTCTTGCTTTCTGTGTCTCTGTCTCTCTCTGTCTGTCTGGCGAGTGCACGCGCCCTATAGCGAAAACCTCTCAAAAAAATAAATAAATAATATACTCATATTTTGATTTTCTGCTTCTTTCTTTCTTTCTTTCTTTCTTTCTTTCTTTCTTTCTTTTTTCTTTCTTTTTGGTCGGGGGAGAGGTTTTTGCTATATGGCACGTGTGCTCGCCAGAAAGACAGAGACAGACAGAGAGACAGAAAGTAAGAAATCACCCCCCAGGGGGGATGGCCACGCCACAATCCCTTCTCCTCCATTCCCTTCTTGGGATCTTGGGCAGGCACATCCATGCGCTAGTGTGAGATTACGCCACCGGGTCCAGGACTTGAACTGTGGTCAACTACATGGGAGTCCAGAGACATAACCATTATACCAACTGCTGGTCTCAGCTGCTTATTTCTTCTTAATCTAACTTTATCTTTTAGTATAGTAAGTGACAGGGAAAAGATCAACTCAAACAGTATTATGGAAAAATGATATAAATTTGCATTTCAAACATCATCATTAGTGATGAATTTAAATCAGATTACCCTCTCAGGTTAAGAGACCAAAGAAAACGGAAAGCATTTGAGAATGGTTTTCATATAATCTGCTTATGGACTGAGGTTCTTTAGCTCATTAGACAATTCGCTGCTGTAGAATGCTGCACTGCCTTATGGGATTAATGAGGCTTTGCTGACATTGCCTTAGCTAGGCCACGCATCTGTCAGGTCATCGTATAAACCTCAGGACATCCTCTTACTAATTCCAATAACAGTTACCACTCCAGAAAGGAAGGGAATCCAATGAAAGAAAGATAAAAAAGATTAAAAAGAAACAGAAGGCGGAGCCAGCAGGCAGTGTGGCTGTTAGGGGTGCTGGAACTCCTACATGGTCGACTGTGGTTCAAGTCTCAGATCTGGTGACTTGCTTTCTCACTATCTTCTCTCTTTGTCTCTCTCTGGTCAAATAAAAAATAATAACAAATAAAGTTAAACAAAATAATTCTTCATAAAAACTTAAAAAAAAAAAATAGAAAGCACCAAAGTCTGTAGTACACAAATTACCGGATTCGAGTCAGAGTGTTCCGGAGTCCGACGACATAGAATAAAATGTTGGCGTCGGTGTTGCTGTAGATGCTATTGATAGCAGCCATGGCAGCTCCCATCCTTCCCGCCGCGGCACAGATCACCACGGGGATCTCCTCTTCCGGTTCTTCAGGAGTCTCAGCGTCATCATCTGGAAACATCAAAATCAGGGACTTGGAACATGAAGGAATTTCACAGAACAGCCCATTTAACCATCTTCCACACTCCTAAGCGAAGACAGCACAGTGCAGGGAGTCTGCTGGTGGTCCGCCAATATCCAGTCTCTCCTTCCCTGAGGAAGGAACTTAGGGGGCAGTAGGTGGTGTGGTTAGGGCAGCTGGATCACACAGAATCTACTGTGCAGTTCCAGCCTTAGACCTGGCAGCTTAAGAATCATGCCCAGGGACCAGCAGTTGGCATAATGGCTATGTTGCTGGATTCCCACGTAGTTGACCGCGATTCAAGTCCTGGACCCGGTGGCTTAAACTCACGCCAGGCACATGTGCGTGTGTGCCCAAGATCCCAAGAGGAGAATGGAGGAGAAGGGATTGCTGCATGGTCATCCCTCCTGGAGGGTGATTTCTCACTTTCTGTCTCTCTGTCTCTTTTTCTGGCGCACACACGTGCCCTATAAATAAATAGAATTGAAAAAAAAATCATGCCCAGCACATACAGGGACGCCCAAAATCCCTAGAGGAGAATGGAGGAGAAGGGATTGGCAAGGCCATCCCCACCTAAGAGGGGACTTTTCCTCTCTCTGAACTTTGGAATTTTAGTTGGAACACAGCCAACCTCTCCCACTATTTTCCCAGCTTCCTTTGCAGTTCTATATGGTCAAGACCAATCAGATGTTAGTGGAAGTAGTGTGTGCAGCTATTTGGTGTGCTTTTCAAAGGACCACCTACCCTGCTTTACCTCTTCCCCTTCCCATTGGCTGGAATGTTGATATGATGGTAGGAGTTAGAGCAGCCACCTTAGACCTCAAGATGGAAACTTCCTATTGAGAACACCAAAACCATAAAACAGAAGGACTCTTGCTCTGGACGATTATGAAACCGACCTAGTAGACTTTCACTTGAGAGAAAAAAAATAAACTTTTGTTTAAGTCACTAATATTTTGGAGCTCTCTTATAGGAGCTAATCAGATAGCCTGATATACATAGCTGAACTGAAAATCATAGGAAAAACTGAAAAGCCTCATTTGTTCGACAGTCCTCAGCTCTTCCATGAATTGGAGTATGTACATTCCTGATACGGCTATAAAATCAGATTTTGTTTCCCCTGAACACTATAGTCGAACTTCTCAAGCACTGACAGCAAAGAGGTAAATGAAGGAGCATGACAAATATACAAGATGAATAATGGATGATTCTTCTGAGCACCAGTTGTGACATAAAACATCAATGCCACAATATCAGTCTGGTACCACAATTCTACCTCTCAGTGTAAAAAGTAATAATTACCAGTGTATACACTATCCCCTACTAAATGTTCATCTTTTTTTTTTTTTTTTAAGCTTTTGCCATAGAGCATGCGTGCTCACAGACAGAGACAGAGAAAGAGAGGGAAAGTGAGAAATTAACCTCCAGAGGGAGGGCCTCACCACAATTCCTTCTCCTCCATTCTCCTCTAGGGATTTTGGGCATGCACACACTTATGCCCGGTGTGACTTTCAAGCCATCAGGTCTGGGACTTGAACTACGCTGTCTGCCATGTGGAATCCAGTGCCTTAACCACCATGCTCCCTGCTGGCCCGCCCATCTGATTTTAAAAGCTCTCTCTCTCTCTCTCTTTATAGATGCCTTTTTGCAAAAACCTCTGTCACTCAGGCACTCAAGATAGTTCTAGGTGATATTTTAATCAAACAGCATTTATTGCAACTGACCAGCAGGTACTATGCTCTACGTACTTTAAGAAACATTGAAGAGCCTCTCCTTCTCGCTGCATCTTTTCTATCAGCTTACAACTGATCTGAAATTTCCACCACGAGGATAATTTTGTTTCTATGACATATTTATTTACATGAGAGACTGCTCATAATACAAGGGGTTGTTATAAAAAACTTCATGAAAGCATGTAATATGAAAAGACTATAGGGACCAGCAGTTAGCGTAATGGCTATGTCGCTGGAATCCCACGTAGTTGACTGTGGTTTGAGTCCCAGACCCGGTGGCTTAAACTCACGCCGGGCATGTGTGCATGCGTGCCCAAGATCCTGAGAAGAGAATGGAGGAGAAGGGATTGCGGCGTGGCCATCCCCCCGGGAGGTGATTTCTCGCTTTCTGTCTCTCTGTCTCTCTCTGTCTGTCTGGCGAGTGCACGCACCCTATAGCAAAAAGCTCTCAAAAAAAAAAAAAAAAAGACTATACACGGACTTCAAAGATTTGTGCACCTAAACAAACTTGTACTTAATTTCATTTTTTCACAAACTTTTTGAAGTCCTCTTGTATATTGATAAGGGAGGAAAGAATACAAAATCCTCTCTAGTATTTGACTCCAATTTCATTCGTATTTACAAAAGGGCATATATATATACATATATATATATAGTTATAGTATTTTAAGTGATCTTCATTTTGTGTGTTTCTTTTTCTTTTTTAAAAATTTGCCACAGAGGGGACCTGCAGTTGGTGTAATGGCTATGTCACTAGACTCCCATGTTGTAGACTGCGGTTCGAGTCCCAGACCCAGTGGCTTAAACTCACGCTGGGCACATGTGCATGTGTGCCCAAGATCCTGAGAGGAGAAGGGAGAAGAAGGGATTGTGGCATGGCCATCCCCCTCAGGGGAGTGGTTTCTCACTTTCTGTCTCTCTGTCTCTGTCTTTCTTGTGAGTGCATGTGCCCTAAGCAAAAATCTCTCCAGAATTTTTTTTTTTTTGCCACAGCATTCTGGCGCTCTCCAGAGAAAGCAAAGGTCATGCCACAATCCCATCTCCTCCATCTCTTCTTCCTGTCAGGATTTTGGGCACGTACACACATGCACCCAACATGCTTCTCAAGCCACTGTCTCTGGGACTTGAACCATGCAGTTGGTCATATGAGACCCATCCATCCCAACCACCATGACAAACAAAAAAATTTTTTAAAGACTTTTTAATTTAATTTAATTTATTATTGTTATTATTTTAATTTGACCAGAGAGAAACAAGAGAGAAAGGCAAAGTGAGAAAGCAAGCCTCCAGGTCCAGGATTTGAACTGTGATCAGCCACGTGGGAGTCTAGCACCTTAACCACTATGCCATCTGCCAGTCTCTCAAATTAAATTTTTTAATTAAAAAATAACCAGAAATAAATGCCAGCTTTGGGGATCAGCAGGTGGCACGGTGATTGAGGGCACTGGACTCTCACATAGTTGACCATGGTTCGAGTCCCAGACCTGGTGGTTTGCTTTCTCACTTTCCCTCTCTCTTTCACTCTGTCCCTCTCTGATCAAATTAAAATAAATAAAATAAATAAAATAAAATAAGTGCATTAATAGTATTTTCTAATTTTTGTGGGTGCTTACTTTGTGTGTGTGTTAGGGTCATAAAGGAGTTGTGCTACCATATTATGCAAATCACTGCCAGGGAGGAAAACAGGACTCTCAGTGCAGCTGGAAGAGGACATGAGGACAACAAAGGATCGTTTTCTGAGTTGGGAGTTATAAGGCGTCTTGTGCATTGATGGGGAGAAAGAGGGCAATTTTCATAAGCAAAATCATTGAGTAGCCCCAAAGGGATGGGATGTAGAGCCACCCATTGAAAAATGTGGTTCAAGAACAGAGAGCATCGGGAACCAGCAGTTAGCGTAATGGCTATGTTGCTGGACTCCCACGTAGTCGACCGTGTTTCGAGTCCCGGACCTGGTGGCTTAAAACTCACGCCGGTGCGTGTGTGGGCATGCCCAAGATCCCGAGAGGAGAATGGAGGAGAAGGGATTGCGGAGTGACCATCCCCCCTGGGGGGTGATTTCTCGCTTTCTGTCTCTATGTCTCTCTCTGTCTGGTGAGCGCATGCGCCCTATAGCGAAAACCTCTCCAAAAAAAAAAAAAAAGCAGAGAGCATCGGCATCATCTGGGAGCATCTCAGAAACGCAAATCCTCAGGTCCATCCCAAACGTGATGAAAACGTCTCTGGTGGGGCCCCATAGTTTTTGAGCCAGTCCTCCACGTGACCCGTACACAATGCTGAAGCCTGAATAGCACTGGTTACTCCAGAGCACAGCTGCAAAGTTGGCCTTGGGCGGATGTCCTACACGTAGGTGATATTTTACACACGGTCCCTAGGAGCTGACCAAGGCACTGCTCTCTGACCCTAGCTATGGAATGGACTGAAAGGAACATGTCCAACCACGTTCCCGTAGCCTATCTCAGTGGAATCCATGTTGCTTACCTGCTTCATTCTTGGGCACAGTCTCCTTATGAACTTTCTTATACAGAATCACACAAAGGGTCACGATCAGAAGGAACAGCAATACCTGGTTAACTGAAATAAAAACGGGAACATGTTAAAGTTTTTCTAATCGGGCCAGCAAGTGGCACAGTAGTTAAGGTGCTGGACTCTCACATGGCTGACCACAGTTCGAATCCCGAACCTGGTGGCTTAAAAATCATGCCAGGTGTGTGTGTGCATGCATGTCCAAAACCCCAAGAGAGGAATGGAGGAGAAAGAATTGCTGTGTGGCCATTCTCTTCTGCAGGGATGTGTGATTTCTCACTTTCCCTCTCACTGTCTCTCTCTGGCGACTGCACATGCTCTATGGCAAAAACCTAAAAAAAAAATTAAGATTTTCCTATTAACCTGGACTCGTGGGAAAGTTCAGACTGGCAGTGTGAGCAGATGCCTTCCATGGCACTGGAGGCACGGTGGGCCTTTCGTTAAGCAGACAGCACATGGAGGCTGGAGTTAACCTGGGACGCTGTTGTGTACGGATACCCAGAGGTCGTGAGGAAGGTCCAGGGCCAATCCCAGGCAGCCCGATGGCAGAAGCTGCAACGGAGTCACTCATTCCATGATGCTGCCTATGGAGCCCGTCCCCGCGCATCAGCGATAGTTTTCAAATACTGGCCAACACTCACATAACACTCCCCGTGAGCCAGGGCCCATTATGAGCATCGTACATGTTCTCAGTTGTTACAGAACAAATTGCTTCTCAGTGAATTCAGCTACTAGTTCTCAGGAGTCTAAAGATTTGAAATGGCTCTTTAAGAATCAAAATACAGAGTGGGTCTAGTCTTGTGGCCTGGTGTTAAAGCAGCCAGACCCCACATGGCTGGCTGTGCGGTTTAAGTCCCGGACACGGCGACTTGAGGAACGTGCCAGGCTCGTGGGTGTGCATGCCCAAACTCCTGAAAGGAGGGAGAGACAGAGGAGAAGGGTTTGCTGTGTGACCATTCCCCAAGGGGGTGGGGAGGCTTTCTCCTTCCCTTTCTGTCTCTCTCTGGGGAATACATATGCCCTCTGGAAAAACTGTAAAAAAGAATAAGAATACAAGACAATCCTACCATGTGGATAACAGTGACGCAGGTTACTAGGTTTCCCTCTAAATTTCTCAAACGGCTGAATTTAAAATCAGGGCAAATCCAGGTTTCGATGTGTCTTAAAATTTGAGGTGACCCTTTCAGAATGAGAATAAAAATAACTGCCAGGTGACGGAGCAGTGGTAATGCAACTAGGCCCACATGGGAAAGCCCCCCGATGGTGTCCCAGGACCTCCTTACTCAGGCCAGTAGGTATGTGTGACTGGGAGCCAGGCTGCCTGAGGCTGGGGAGACTTCATGGCATGAAGACCCTGTTGGGGGTCTCTATTGCTCACTGAAGAAACAAATAAATTAATATATATATATAATTATTAAGACTAAATTAGACATGAACATAAATATTTATTTAGAATAAGAAAGTATATGATATTTGTAAGTTTCTTTTAAAAAGAATTTTTAAATTTAACTTTGTTTATTTATTATTATTATTATTTTTGATTTGACCAGAGAGAGTCAGAGAGAGAAGGGGAAGCAAGAAAGCAAGCCACCAGGTTTAGGACTTGAACTGTGGTTGCCCATGTGGGAGTTCAGCGCCTCTAACCACCACACCACCTGCTGGCCCCAGATATCTGTAAACTTTATAAAACTGTATGGCCTTTCTCATGCTAAATCTATTTCTTTCCTCTCTCTCTCTCTCTCTCTTTTTTAAATTAATTTTCTTTTTTTTTTTTTTGGAGAGGTTTTTGCTATAAAGCGCGTGCGCTCGCCAGACAGACAGAGAAAGACAGACAGACAGAAAGTGAGAAATCACCCCCCAGGGGGGATGGCCACATCGCAATCCCTTCTCCTCCTTTCTCCTCTTGGGATCTTGGGCACGCATGCACACACGCCTGGTGTGAGTTTTAAGCCACCGGGTCCGGGCCCCGAACCGTGATTGACTACATGGGAGTCCAGTGACATAGCCATTACACTCACTGTTGGTCCCTCTTTTTTTTTTTTTTTTTGAAGAGAGATTTTTTTTGCTATAGGGCACATGCACTCACCAGAGAGACAGAGACAGAAAGTGAGAAACCACCCTCCCAGGGGATGGTCATGCCACAGTCCCTTCTCCTCCATTCTCTCAGGATTTGGGGCATCCACACAGATGCATCTGGCATGAGTTTTTAAGCTGCTGGATCCGGGACTCAAACCACAATAAACTATATGGGAGTCCAGGGACATAACCATTGCACCATCTCCTGGTTCCCCAATAAATCCATTTCTGACCAAATGACTTAACGACTTTCTGTAGAAATGATCTTGAAATGATGATGCTAGAGTTTCCTGTAGGAAAACTACTTATGAAAGTCAAACATTTTTTTTAAATCCAAAATATCTATTTTTGATCATTATTTTCAAAAGTTGCAATGTTACCTTTTCGTAACAGAGCCATGTGTGCTCACGTGGATAAGAATGGTGACCTGTGAATTAAAGAATAAGATTTTGTTTAGCAGAGAACCAACTCAGAAGTCATCAACAAGCGTTAAGGACTACGATGTCTTTGAAAATCCAGTAAGTCATGAAGTATACAATCATTCTTTACTGTTCGGAGTCTAGAATTTCTGGAAACAAATATTTCTTCAAAACTAACTCTGCCTGGACACAATTGACAAAAGACCTCCAGGAGCTAATCTTTTATCTTCAGGGATTTGTTTGTTTGTCTGTTTGTTTTTGTTTTTAATATTTTTGCCACAAGGTATAGGTGCTCCTTAGCAAGAAAGAAGGAAAAGTGAGAATCAACCCCTAGTGGAGGATGGCCATGCTCCAATCCCTTCTCCTCCTTCTCCTCTTGGGATTTTGGGCACGCACATGTGCCCAGTATGATTTTTAAGCCACTGGGTCTAGGACTTGAACTGCGGTTAACCATGTGGAAGTCCAGTGCCTTAGCCACCATGTTCCTTGCTGACTCCTATCTTCAGGGTTTTTTTTTTCCTTTGAGAGGTTTTTGTTGTAGGGCACAAGCCCTAAAAGACAGAGAGACAGAGAGACAGAAAGCGAGAAATCATCCCCCAGGAGGGATGGCCATGCCACTATCCTTTCTCCTCCATTCTCCTCTCAGGATCTTGGGCACGCATGTACGTGGACCCGGCGTGAGTTTAAGCCACTGGGTCCAGGACTTGAACCACGGTAGACTACATGGGAGTGCAGTGACATAGCCATTACGCCAACTGCTGATTGCTGGTCCCTTCAGGTGTTTTTTATACCTTCTCCAAAAAAGAGCCGGTCAGCCTCTGGATGGGCAGAGGAGGTGGCACTAACTGGAAGAGGATCATACGAGAAGCTTGGCTGGTCTAAGACGGAACCCTGCGTCTGTCCTGCTTTCACTTCATTCCTTTCCTAAGGAAGCTTTTACACCTTCAGGAATCCCCTGTGGAGAGGCACACTTCACATTTAATTCAATCCTTCCTTCCTTCCTTCATTAGTACTCACTGAGATTCTAATCAATTATAAGCCTGGCACTGGGCTATATACGGAGGTCGCACCATAAGGAAGACAGCCCGGTCCTCCTATCCTCATGGCACTTTCAGAGACTTTCTGAGTGCACCAGACATGCATGAGCCCATGGTCGGGGCTGGGGGCAGCTGGGGTGGACTGTGGCAGGAGGACCCTGTTGGGGATGCCGTCTCTGTCTCTATCTCTTTCTTTGTGTGTCTCTTGCTCATGGAAGAAATAAACTTTTGAAGAAGAAGAAAGGTTTTGTAAGGTTCTATGGAGGGGCTGTCACTCACCCATGAGAACTTCTTTCCCCATGGCGGATGGGCCCAGGGACTTTTCAAGAACTGGGTTGTACAATACTCAGTCCACAACCCTCCACCATCTTCTGCACTTCCTAGTCCGCACCTCATGTCCACAGTCCACAGTGCTCCTCCCCCAGATCTAGAGACACGTATCTCTGTGTCTGAGGACAATGTGGGGGAAGGCGCCATGCCCCCACTTCCGACAGGCAGACAGGGGAGAGATGTAGCTGAGGCAGGAAGTCCCAAGGGTGCTGGACCTGAGGGTGTAGGTCAGCAAGAATTCGTGGGGATTCTGGACAGGACGTTGGATGGAGGGGGATGAGACCAAAGCGAGCCAATTTCATAGGAATCTGCAAATCTGTGGCAGACGGCAAGGATCATAACCTTTCGAGTCATGAATTTCTTGGTAGTCTGAGAAGGAAGCAGGAGCACCTCCATCTTTGAACTTTGTTATACTTGCTTCCTCCTTTTCCCAGAGTAAATAGAGTAATAGTCTTACTGTCTTTGCTAACTAGCCCGAAACCAATGTAACTACCAATGCCCAGACCCCTGCCCGGAGCCATGGGAACATTAAACAAAGTCTGGAGAGTGCCCTTAGAAGTTACTAACCTGCTTGATTCAGCTTCTGTGACTGCTTTCATAGGGGAACCCCACTCCGTTTCCTCCTCACCTTCTCCTCAGTTCCCACTGTAATCACCATCTCAACCCAGAATTGATCGTGACCTTTGTCTTTATAAGCACCCTTCTCCTTTCCCTTGGGGCTGCGGGGTTTTGAGAGACATGAGTCTCCCCGTATGCTGCCGGCTTAATAAACTCTCATAAGTCTGGCTATGTCTGGATGGCCTCTTATTTCTCGCTGAGTAGACTATAACAATAAAAACCATAACCCCCCTCCTAGAATATTTTTGAAAGCTATAAAAATATAGATTGTATTACAGAGAGAGCTAATTACAAAATTGGTCATTGTTGTTTGTATTGTCAGAGGGCACAGGTGCTTGCCACAGACGGAATAGAGAGAGGAAGGGAGCACCCCCAATCCCTTTTCTGCCATTCTGCTGCCCTGTTGGGATTTTGAGTTCACAAGCACATTTGCCCAGTGTGCTTTTCAAGCCACAGGGTCTGTGATTTGACTCAGTTAGTCATGTAGGCTTTGTTTCCCTTAACCACTACTCTCATGCCCCAATTACAAAATAATATATAATATATAAAAAAGAAATCCACTAGAATATTGGTGGGAGGCAGCTTCATGATACAGCTGATATGTGAGGGGAGTCTTCAAAAAGTTTATTGAAAATGTGTCATAAAAAACCCATGTATGCCCTGTAGCAAAAACCTCTCAAAAAAAAAGAAAGAAAGACCCAAGTATGGAGTTTAACTTTTTTTTTTTTTTGAGAGGTTTTTGCTATAGGGCACGTGTGCTCGCCAGACAGAGAGAGACAGAGAGACAGAAAGCAAGAAATCACCCCCCAGAGGGGATGGCCACACTGCAATCCCTTCTCCTCCATTCTCCACTCGGGATCTTGGGCATGCATGCACAAGCACCCGGCGTGAGTTTAAGCCACTGAGTCCAGGACTCGAACCACGGTCGACTACGTGGGAGTCCAGCGACATAGCCATTACGCTAATTGCTGGTCCCGAGTTCAACTTTTTTTTTTTGAGACTTTTTTTTTTTTTTTTTTTGCTATACGGCACTCAGACTCTCCAGAGACAGAGAGACAGAAAGCAAGAAATCAGTCTCCAGGGACCACGGCCACACCACAATCCCTTCTCCGTTTTCTTCTCAGGACTGTGAGCATGCTCGCACATGCACCCGGAGTGAGTTTCAAGCTGCTGGGTCCGAGACTCAAACCACAATTGACCACATGGGAATCCAGCGCCTTGGCCACTATGCCACTTGCTAGCTCTACATTTCATTGTTTTTCGCACTAAAATAAACTTGTACTTTAACTTCATTTTCCAATGAACTTTTTGAAATTCCCCCACATGTTTCTTTATTAAGTAACAAGCAGGTACACTAATTAGCCTAATTTTTTTTCTTTTTTTTTTTTGGAGAGGTTTTTGCTATAGGGCACGTGCGCTCGCCAGACAGACAGAGAGAGACAGAGAGATAGAAAGCGAGAAATCACCCCCCAGAGGGGATGGCCACGACGCAATCCCTTCTCCTCCATTCTCCTCTCGGGATCTTGGGCACGCATGCACACGCGCCCAGTGTGAGTTTAAGCCACTGGGTCCGGGACGCGAACTGCGGTTGACTACGTGGGAGTCCAGCGACATAGACATTAAGCTAACTGCTGGTCCCGTAATTAGTGTAATTTGAAGTGAGTTCTCCAAAGTGTCTTTCTCTTTGTCTCTCTCCAGTGAGCAGACACACCCTATGGCAAACCACCCCTCTCCTCCCAAAAAATGCCCACCGTCCTTGCAACCTCGTATAGCCTAGTATTAAAAGATCCTCTGCCTCTATACCAAAGAGTACGGAAAATAAAGGGAGAGGAAGGACACAGCACAGCGGGAGACTTTTCAATGTTCTTCTAAGACTTAGAGTGAACATATTTAATAACTAATATGGCCTCGGGCACTGATCGATTCAAATGGAGACCAGCTATGAGTGGTTAGATCAGATCCCTTGCTGTGTTCTGGCCAATAACCAGCAGCTTTGGCACCTGCAGAATGTTAAATCATGTAAGTGTATTGTGCATTATCTGTTTAAACAAGTAAGCAGAACAAGCATGTGGCATGGGGTTTAAAGCAACTGGATCCCACAGGGCTGACTGCTTCATTGAGAATCGGGCCAGTAGCTTGAAAAACACACCAGGTGGGGCCAGCAGGTGGCATGGCAGTTAAGGCAGGACTCCCACATGGCCAATCAGGGTTTAAGTCCCTGACCTGGCAGCTTGCTTTCTCACTTTCCCTCTCTTTCTCTCTCTGTCTCTCTCCGATGAACACATGTACCCTATAGCAGATTTTTAAAAAAAAATAATAATCATCATAAAATAAATAAATAATTCTTTAAAAATTAAAATTAAAAGAAAAAGGTGCATGTGTGTGCATGCTCAAAATCTCCATAGGAGGGAGAAAGAGAGAAGGGATTGCGATGTGACCATCTCCCATGGGCAGGTGCATTC